TTAGTAAATTTTAAGGTTATTCCAAATATTACCGTTACAGATAATTTTAACTTTAACGGTAACCGGCGATATGGTGCAACTCACCCTTAGTAACGAAAATGAAGTGGAAACAGTACAGCGGATAGTTAAAATTAGTCCAACCAAATTGTGCGTATGTGTAGATAGATCGTACACCGCTGTTATGTTGGAATTGAATACAAAATATACATCTAATCCATTCAACATGTATTTTGTTTCGGGTTTAAAACTTGTAATCAGGTCTTAGGTTCGAATCCCGCCATGTACTAATATTTTTATTTGTAATTTCATTTGTACATAATTCACCTGGCCTGACGGTGAAGTAAAACATCGTGATGCAATCTGCACATAACAGAAGAAATTCAAAGATGTGTGAGAGTCAACTAACTAGCAGTTTGCTAGCGTGGTTGACTTTGACCTAGTCATCCTTTACTTGGGGTAGACTCCGAGCACCCTCAGCGGGGATATAGTGAGCTGGTGATGATGAATTCATTAAAATAATCAAACAAGTAAATATAAATATAAATTTTATTTAGTAACAAGCTTACATACAAAGTATAAATAATAATAACTAATGAGAAATGCATCAGTACAATTTTTGGCATATCACATGATTTTTTAATAATATTAGGACTAACAAGGTCGGAGAGCAGAGCTGATTTTGATCGCAAATTAAATTGAACTCCACACGATTGTATTAAGTTTTAATTTTAAATAAATTTCTTTCATCAAGAGCAAGCGTAAAAGAGATGAAAAATAAAATTTAACATTTTTTTGTTAAAATTACATTTCAATTTTATTTGTGTTTATCTGTTGTGTCAATCTGCTTTACCACAACAGATAAACACAAACTTCACCATTGCAATAAATAATTACTTCACTTTATTCAACATTTCATACTTTTATAGTATTGCATTGTCTGTGGTATTTATGCCCTCAAACGTCAGTTTCATACAAATTGCATTAAATTTGTTAAATATTGGTACAATGTGTTATGTTGGTACATTATTATTGACGAGGCCGAGTCCTACACATTCGATAATATTAGTTTCACCTTCAGATTTTATCGTAAAATTCACCTGGAAAAGAAAACGCATGTTTATTAAAAAAAGGACAAAAATTGATTTTAATTTTGTCGAAAACCTTACAACATAACTCACGACCGTAACCCAGATGGGTTAATATTAACTGTTGCCCGCGACTCCATCCGTAAGGGATTAATTCTAAATAATTATCGTGTGTTCTTCCAGACTACTACTTTTGCTAAATTAAATCGAGATTTGTTAATGTTTTCGAGATACGTTGTAACAAACATATGTCCATATCGAATTATATGAATTCCATTCCAATATGTAAACATCGATCACTTAAAACTGTCTCATTTGACAATTTATTTATTGAAATCGGAGATAACCTGTTTTTTAAACTTTTTTATTATATAGTAACTGTTTTTGGCAACTTCGTGTGAAATTAATATATAAAATATATAGCCTACGTTACTTATAACATAGTTTTTTATCGGTAAAAGAATTTTTGAAATCAGCCCAGAAAATTTTGGGTTATTTCAATGTATACAAAAATTCAAATCTTTTCTCTTTGTAATATTAATTTAATAGCTATGACGTCAATGGTCATACAACCATACAGACCTTAGCAACGAGTTGTGCGACGTGCAGCGCGGTGCGCGTGTGCAGCGTCACCTGCGCGCACTTCACTGCGGACCGGCCCGCGCTCAGCAACATGTATATTATCACTTGGTCCTGGAATTCATTAGAACATTTATATTATTATCTAGAATTTATGAGGATCCAAAATTAAGGCCTAGAACTTTTGAATACGTCTTAATTATAATTTTTTCGTATACACAAAAAAAAACTAAAAAGTACACTATTATATACTATATATTTATGTAAATAATAAATACACTAATTCCTTTTGTACAAATTAGAAAGTGATATAATAAAAAAAGCGTGTGAAACATCCCCAAGTAAGAATTTCAATATTCTAGTTTAGAGTATAGATACCTGTGCGTGTGTGTCGAGACAGGCGCCGCAGCGCAGGGCGGCGGCGAGGTCCGCGGCGGCGCGGCGCCCCAGCGCGTAGGGCTCCGCCCCGCGCCGCCCCAGCGCGTCCCCCGACAATACGCAGCCCGTGCTGGTGTCGCACGCAACGCTACACACATTCACTGATCATTTCCAAAAACAACTCCGTTATTAATCAATTCTCTTATGTATAATTAACTAGCTGTTCTCGTGCGGCTTCATCCGCATGAAATTATGCAATTTTTTTTATTGTTTACATTTGTCAAATTATCAATAGCAAATGTCAAAGTAACATGACAAGACAAACCTTGGCAATCTTATTTTCTTGATGTTGGCAGCAGCTTATGGTCTCTTTCCCACATTAGGATTTTCATCCAAAATATTTACCCCCTAAATCTAATGGCGTGAAAATATATAGCCTAAAGCGTGACGTAAGTGTAAGGCTTTTTATTAAAAAAAGAATTATTCAAAACTATGCTGTACTTGCGAACATCTTAGGCAACAAAGCAGTGTGTGTTTACGCTTTATTATAATATTAGTAATATTAACACAAGAAATGTTTTAGTCCATTGTCTTCTAAGCAGGCGAGGTGTGGCGCCCGACCAGAGTGCAGAACATAAATGGGCGCCACATATGCCTAAAAAGGCGTTAAGGGCGCCTTTTTTATGTGCATTTACATTGCGAGGCGCCGGTAATGCTAAAACCAACCCTTAGCATATCATATTATAATTAATTTAATAAGCTAAAATTTTATATGCCTAGTATAAAACAATAAGAAACATGCATGAAAGCAATTCCCTTAGTTACTATTAGTGAATAAAATTCGAGAAAATGTGGACCAATCATGGACCAGAAAATCATTTAAACAACTCTGAAGTTGTGAAAGTACAGGAATATACTCACATGATACCGTTACAGTTGTCAGGGGCCGTGTCGGGGTCTTCCTTGTATGTATGGATGTTGACATTGGGCAAGTGAGTCAGCTCAGACCGCGCCCCGTCACTCATTTGATGCGCCATCTGAAAATGTTCACAAATAACGAATTTAAACATTACTCTGATATTAGAATGTTTGTTTTTTATGCATAATTAAATGTTGTATTTTATTGTTACGTAAAAACACTTCTTTATGAAATACAGGTTTTAATAAATTTGTGACCTTATTGTACAAAAAACGGTACAAGATTGGTACTTTAAGGTTAGATGAAAATTACGATACACTAGCTTTAGCTTGCGACTTCATCCACACTGGATAAAATAAAATCTAGTAGTAATACATTTACTGTAAGCTGATATAATTTTTTTAAATTAGTCCGGTATTTTTAATAATTAAATACAAAAATACAAATCTTTCCTAATTTTATTTTTTCTTAATTTTATTAGTATAGATATCAAAAATGGATCAAAGCTGTACCTTGATAGGCAGCCTGCCCGCCACAAAGCTCCAGCCTTGAACACTTTTGACATCTCCCTGCTCCGTAATATCCACACCATGCAGCTGCCGTACCGGCTTGATGTCAAATGTTACATGACCTCCTCCACGAGGGAAGTAACTGAAAAGTAAGGGTAGAAGATAAATTGAATGTTTCTCATTGGAATATTTGACCAAGTAACCAATTGGCTCTATGGTTTGATTCTTTGTGGGTCAATTGATTTTATGTATTTGAACAACCCAACAGGAAACAATCATATTAAAATAAGTAAAATATGTGGATTAAATTTTCTATTTACCACCTAAAAAGTGACATAAAGCTTTGTACACATTGACATTAAAATTTGTTATTGATAATTTTTTTCTACATTTGTACTTAAAATTTTTTTATTTAATTACAATTTATAATAAAATAATCACAATTTTATAAAAAAGAAATTGGAATATCTTTTCAAAGTATATTAACTTACCCCCTTTTATGTATTTTCCAAGAGAAATCTACTTTAAACTTAAGCAACAGTGGTCGCAGGACCAAAAACATGTAGTCAATCTGTGGTGCCATGTCCGCATTGGTGCCACCTTTCAGATCAAGTGTGACTGGTCCGTCTGCCATTAATGCACAGGGTAATGCCACTTGTAGCAGTAAACTTATAGAACTGTAAATAGTAAACAGTCAAGTTTAAGTTAAAAAAGTTTAAAACTAACTTTCGTAGCTTCGTTTGTGCAGAATCTATCTATACTAATATTTTAAGAGGAAAGATTTGTATTTTTGTATGAACTGAAATATCTCAAACACTACTGGGTCAATTTCAAAAATGCTTTCACCATTAAAAACCTATCTTATCAGTTTTATATTTTTATAAATAACATGCAGAAGTCGCAATCAACAGGTAGTCAAAAATAAAATTTGTAAGAAACCTATGTGTTTAGCTGTTTTGGAGATATGTAAGTTCTCACCCTGCTGTATGTGTGTCGGCAACATAATGACCTCCCCGCAGCTTACCAGGTATGAACTCAATATCTGTAGACCCAATACTGGCACCCTTCAGTTTTGCTCCACACATTTCTGCTACCAATTGAACACCTATACAAAAAAAATGTATAAAGACTTCATAAGTTACAAGGATCTTTATAATTATTTAAATTTAGTTATAATGTGAAAGTTAAAAATGCACCAGCTTTAAATGCAGATTTCAACTGTGAATATGGTAAATAGCTGACTGCCGTTCTCAGTTGTTTAATCATCATTAATTTTGTTTTAGTATGAGAAATGAAGCGCCTACTTATGTTACTTAACCTTTCAAATGCTGAGCCGCTAAGCCAGGCTTGCTACGCCCTGCTCGTATGTTAATAACTCGTACCGGTATTCCCAAAATAGCACTAAGTGATATAGAGTTTCGCAGGATTTGTCCACCCTGGAATGTTAACAGATTTATTAGAAAAAAAAGTATTCGTCAGTGAATTATTGCACAATTACATTTTAGTTTTACCCCTTCTAAAACACTGCCGTCGATCTCCATGCATTGTGACATAGCAAAGGTAGATTTACTTCTTTTAATTTTTTAAGTTAAGTGAGAATGAAATAAATTCAAATATCTATAATTTGAATTTGCTATTTTGAAACCACTGACATCTATCTGACAAATGACTAATTGAGCTCTTGCTCTTGTCGGAAAATTGAAGCCGAGCGAGACCTCAAAAACTGTCCGTTCTATCCCTTTCTGGCGATCGTGACTATGTCAAAATATAATTTAAGGACAGTAATTATGAAAAATCTTATTTTTGTTGTCTGACTTTAGCTGATTATTGCTTCAGATGGATTTTAACGTATTAGTATTATCAGTAATGTTTAAAAAAAAACAATACAAGACATATGATTCTAAATCAGAGTTTACTAAATAAAAGTTTTGTAAAGTTTATGAAGCAAACCTAGCTTTTTCCTAACATTTTAAATCTGAAAGTTATTTTAATAGAGAAAGGAAGAAATAAATCCATAATTGTTTGTTATTTGTTTTGAACTAGAATTATATAGTCATGCATGGTCACCGTAATTATTCACCAACAAATTTTGTTCAAAACTATTACCACCTGTGAAAATATGATCCACAATAACACTCACTTCGGCAAGCCTCCACGACATTTGTATACCCACTTTGACTAAAATTCTTCAAAAATATCACGAAATCAAAAAATACTCCATTAGAGTTTTGAGGTCATATGGGGTTATCACTTCAGGTGTTAGAATTTCAAACAAATAAAAGAAAACCTGCACGCAACTTGCAAAATTTTTGTGTTAATAAGGTTTTACCTTTAACCACAAATAATATTGCTTTAACATGCCGGTAAAAATTATAGTTAATATTTAGAAACATTTTAAAAGTAAATATTTTTACTGCATTACAATACATCAATTCCCTATTTTTCTACAAACAACAAAAGGATTGGTGTCTGGCAGCTCTTGGTCACTGTCAGAAAGGGAAGTAAGTAAGAAGTAAGTCGGACATTTGTAGCCCTCTCACTCGGTTTCAATTTCAATTTCATTTTGCGTGCAACAACACTCTTACACCCTTACCATAAGGTTTTATTTTCTTTATTTTAACTGCAAGATGAACAAATAGAACACACTCCTGTTGTATGTAGCACTTTTTACCTCCATGATTTTGACTTTGCATCAATCTGACGGATCTAGTGATGGGACTCGAGTGATTTTTTTTCACTCGAGTTACTCGGTACTGGTAACTTTCTCACTCATATGCCACACGAGTGAAGATAAGACTC